AAACGAATACAAGAAAAGAAGTTGTCTTCAAAAAATCATGATCAACCCTCTGGAAACAACCTTTATAACTATATCATAAATTAATAGACATAATGTATCTTAACAACATAAATTTATGCGAATTTATTTAATTCTAGTGGCTTTCACCGTTCAGAAGAAGTTATGCGAAAAAATACTTTAATTTCATCAACTTTGGAAGAATATACTTCCCCTGATATGCATTTTGAATCATAAGATAAGAATACTGACTTTTTAATGAACTATCACCCCACCCCCCCTCCCCCGAGAGCTCGGTACACATGTTTGACTTGCCCTGTATATTTCTGAATGGAAGGAAAATACCAACTAGTAAAAAATCAAATACTCAAAATGGAAAGTCATTACCACAATAGTTCATAAAATGAACGACAATGGTAGGTAACGAGAAAAAAACAACTACCATTTTCGTTCATTTCTTTCTTACTTTGAGTATTTGGCTTTTTCCTAGTTGAAAATACACCAGTCGGGCAACCAGCCACTCCCATTCCACCTGAAATCATTGCCTGAAATGGGATCTTGGAGTGTTTCTTTCCTTGTCAGGTGGCGTTCGGCGTTCGCGTTTTCATTTCGCGGACGTTGAACGCCTCGTGGGGTATAAATGCTGAGATGCGTTTACGTTGGGGCAAGGTCGCACCAGATAGCGGTCTAGAATGCTATCTGGGACAGCCCTGCACTGATGAGAGCCAACAGCTTGAAACCGGTCTGCAGGTAGTCACACGATCCTGAATCAGAGAAGTTATCTCTGCCAGAACCACTTAGGCTCAGCTCGGCGTTTAGGAAGGAAACACTCGCGATTTTATTCGTCTATACTAATCCAGTGAATAGAGCAGGTTCACCTTACAAACGGTCCGATAGTTCTGAATTTTTTGAATGTTATCTAGGATGGTTATGGAGTGTTCAAAATGCAAAATGCACAATTCCTCCTCCACCGCGCCCACTGCCATATTGAAAAAAAACGAAAAAAATAGGAACTTTCTCCAGATTTTCGCTTATATTATTGTTATGGTGAATTTTAGCTAAAAAAGAGTCCCATTAAGTATTGTAGAGGATTGAATTTCCTATAATTCACGTTTTGAATTATGATCCTAGGACTGATAGTTACGGAGATATGCACCTTTTAAAAAAAAATTCCGGAAATTTGTCAAACTTCTCATTTTAGAACGCTGTAGTTCAAGTATCGGAAGAAGATTTGTAGGGAATTTAGTTACCTACAGAAATGCGTGTACAATTTTTCCACCCACCCTACGTAATGGGGCGTGAAAATGGAAGTTAAAACAACGGCATATTGTTTTTTTGCTATTGTGACTCCACATTGTATCTAAAAATATTCACTAATCATTTTACAGTTTAAGCTTGAATTTTTACATGACACAGCGCGATGCTTAAGATGCAGGTACTATTTCAATTGATTACCTACCTACCCATTCAATCAATGACCTGGTGGTATGTCCTCACTAAGTGGAAATGTGCGGAGTCAGTGGTCGGAGGTAGTTTAGCCAAATTTAGTTTGAGGGTACTTGTTTTCAATCTGCTATAGCCAAGGGAGCTCGACCATTGTTCTTTACTACCACCATATAGGGATACCAAGATTCTCTCCCCTGCTACTGAAATTTCTTAGGGACTAGCAGCAGGGTCCTCGAACCTCTCCGCTTGATGGGTCTCCCCTAAAAAGTTGGCAGAATTTATTCTTTCCGAACCCAGAAATGTTAGATGTGGTGTCGCAGCCCGATATTGCGTGCAGGAGCAAAATACAGCCTTTGGAGTTGTACTTGTTGGAGGAGGCGGAGTAGATTGCGTCTGGATGTTTTCCCCCCGCTGGTTTTTCGAGACATTGTTCACCGCAGGTGTTGTGCCAGTCAGTAGGACGAGTAGGTCAATGTCTTCTCCGACAATGATGACGGCGTCGTACGTGGGGGACAGACATTTAGATGTGGCAACTATCAACCTGTCAGCATCTTCGGAAGCTTGGTCTGTGACTGTATTTGACGCTTGCATATCATTGCAGAGCAGCTTCACGAATCGGTCCTTGTTCCCCTCATTGGCCAGGAATTTATCCTGAGGTACGGTGTTGACAGTGGTTTTGTCAAACACCACGTTTGATGATGAGTTTGCCTTGTACCTTCTTGCTCGTTCAGCAATCTTGGTCCCTTGCTGAGAAGGATCTGTAGTGTAGTCATCAAAAATCACCATCACATTGGTGCCATAGTGTCGCTGAACGTACTTGAAAAATTCCAGAACATGCGTTTTTTTTATTTAAAAAAAAAGAGATATGAGATATAGGGTGTGAGAAATCGAGATTTTCCAAGTTCAAGAATTTTTTGTGTCTAAACCATTCATAATTGGTCAAAACGGCTCACATGTCCCTATCTCCGTAACTATATCAGCTCATTCGTAGCTTAAATGCACCAAAACGAAGATATACGCGAAAATCTGGAGGAAGTGTCGATTTCTTTGGGTTTTTTCAATATGGCGGAGGTCGCGGAGGGGAGGAAATTGTGCATTTTGCATTTTGAACACTCAATAACCATCCTAGATAACATATCAGAAATTCAGAATTATTGCATAGATTTCGGGATCCAATATTCTGCGTGACATAGCCAGGGAAATAGGTTGTTGTTTTTTCGTTATCTACCATTTCCGTTCATTTTATGAACTATTGTAGTAATGATGAGTTTATTCCTCTTTGGGAAGAAAAATATCTATCACTACAGTTGAAAATATATAAGGTGTTCCATTACAAAAATGATTTGGACTTTATTTTCTAATGTGCGATTCGCATTCGTTTACTTAGTAAGTGCTAAAAGATAGTACAGATGAAGCCCCCTACATCTCTCATATTCGAAGTTTTTTCACACCTCGTTGAAGTATTGAAGCTGCATATGTAGGTAGGGGTCAAAATATAGGGTAACACCCTGTACATCGACATACACGAAACATTCGTTGTAAGCTTGGTATATAAGCCACTTTCTGTTTGATGTTTCATGCACCTGAGCAGTCCAGTCGTTGATTGATATATTACGCTCTAAGCGTAATATATCAATCAACGGTCCAGTGTTTGTTGCACTGGAGCTACTTCCAAATAGAACGCATTTTTGGTGAACTTTTACAATGAAACAAGATTATGCATGACGAAATTGTGATACTTTTGCGAGACTCTCGTACGAGACGCGAGACAAGACGAGACTCGGGGCTGCGAGACGAGACTCGAGACAAGACTTCATATTTCATCGGCGAGACGAGACGAGACTTTATGAAAGTCTCGTCTCGTTGGTCTCGTGTGAATCACTACAGTAAATTATGCATGTTTGGAAAACTCTTCGAAAAGATGATCTACAATGAAATTTGAATAAATGTAAAGATGCAATAATTCCAGAACAATACGGATTTTTCCCCCTCAAATCAATCGAAGCAAATCTGATGACATTCACAGATTTTTCATTAGACTCAATGAATCATCAAGTTCAGGTGGATATCGTTTACACTGACTTCAGCAAAGCGTTTGATAAAATCAGTCACAAAATTTCAATAACTAGGCTTGCTGAGGTTGGTGTCGGCAACTTTCTCCTGAAATGGATATGGTCCTACCTGCATGGCAGAACTCAGATCGTAGTACTGAATGGATACATTTCAGAACCGTTTGAATCGACGTGCGGTGTCCCCAAGGGAAGTCACCTAGGACCGTTATTCTTCATAATTTACATTAATACATTTATTAGGGCTATGAAAAATTGCTTACTTCTACTTTATACAGACGATTTGAGAATGTATCGTACAGTGAATGACCTGAGTGACTGCAGAAAGATACAAGAAGATTTAAACCGCCTCACATCGTTTTGTGATAAGAATAGCCTCTTTTTGAATCTCGACAAATCTGTTTCAATCAATTTCACCAGAAATAGAAATAGGTTTGACTACATGCAATCTGTATCTGAAGTAAAAGATCTGGGGGTACTGATGGACTCTAAATTAACATTCAAGCCGCACTTAGAAAATACGATTTACGAATGCAATAAAATAATTAGATTTTTCATCAGAAGGAGTTGCCAAAATTTCAGAAATACAAGTGTCTTCTCATTATTTATAATGCATATATTCACAGTTAACTTTGTTTCGCGTCAGTTGTTTGGAATCCCCAGTATCAGGTTCACATAGATAGAGTTGAGAGAGTACAGAAAAAATTTCTCAGATATATTGCTTATAAAACAAATGTACAAATCATTAAAAGTGACTACACTTCACTGATGCGTGAACACAATATATTACCTCTCAGAGATAGGCGAAATGTAACAGACTTGATAATGATTTTCAAACTGATGAAAGGACTAACACAGTGCCCGCATTTATTCTCGAAGATTGAATTCAATGTTCAAATTAGACAGCTGAGAAATCCAGAATTCTTCAGAATACCTTTCAAAAAAACTAACGCTGCTCAGAATTCACCATTATGCAGGATGCTTAGAACATTCAACAGCACTTGTAATGACATTGAATATTTTGAACTCAATTTGAATTGTTTCAAATTTGAAATTAATAAGTATTGCTCTGATCATATGTAAGTATATAAATCACACACTTATTGTATAACTGAATTTACTATTTCTTGTTGCATAATTCACTTTCCGTTTGTTTATGTTTTTTTTCTTGATTACAACCCACTAACTGATTTATTAAGTAGAAGGTTCTGTTTTTGGATTGTTCGATCTGTTTGTAACCCCCATATTGGTAAATAAATAAATAAATAAATAAACAATTATCATGAGTTGAATTATCCTGATACATGAAAATAGTGAATAATATTTCAAAATTACCAAAAAATAGCGTTCCTGCCTATTTTTCATGCTCTGGAGTAGCTCCGGTGCTTCTCACACAGTCAAATAGAAAGTGGCTATAGTAAACACTCTCCTCGGACCCCGATAAGCCTCTGCAGCTAACGAACCCCCCGTTTTATGGCCCTTTTCTAGACGAGGTAGCCAGTTTGGCGGCCGATGCGGAAAGAAAGGCACCCGAACAACGAACGCAGCGGGAAAGGATCGCTTTATTGGGCAGACCGAGGCTGGGAGAGGTAACCAGGGCACAAATTAGAATAAAGGAGAGCAAGGAATTCAAGGTGAGTGTCGCACGTACACGGTGGGCAAAATTAGGCGTTTTCGCCGTCTATCTCAATAACTAGAGGAGTTATCGGAAAACCGATATACATGTTCCGGGTTCGATTTTGGAGAAACCTCGAATGGCACAATCAAAATTTCGATTTCTTCATTCGTTTTAGAGATACAGGGAGAAATTGAAAATTTGCCGATTTCGATTTTATTTTCTGACTACTTTACGGTGAGAGGTATCATAAAATTCCAAACGTATATTTATACAGTATGATGCGTGGAATTCATTGGCATCATCAGAAATTTTATACAGGGTGACGTTGAAAAGATACGGCAGCCAATTATGTTTTTTCTAATGGAACACCCCGTATATTTTGGCACAGTTGAATAGTCCCAGGCGTTCTCATCACAAATATATATAACCCTACCTTTTCCTTCCACAATTTCAGATATATTCGCAAAAATATATTCAGTGTCACATTTCTTATGGTTACACCCCCGTATCTTCTGTAAAAATAATTGAGGTAGGATTAAAAAATTCGCAACTGTCAGAAAGATACAAATGATACATTCATGGAGTCATGGACCAAGTGGGATCATCTCCAATGATAACACTGCTCGCCAGCAGCTATGGAATCATCGATATTTCTGGATAATGCTATCAACAGGCAGAATCGAGGTTGAAAATGACACTCTGTATATATTCACCAAAGGTGGAAAATGAATATCATAGGGAATGTTATTTCCAGACAAATGGATATTTGGTGAGAAATAAAATGGGAAATTATTCGATTTGATATCATTGTTATCAAGACATTTGAGATACAGAAATAAGACCAATAATTTACTCAATTAGGAAATCAGTAGCTTGCGTTGAAAAATATAGCCTTATAGAAGATGTCCAAATTCCAGATACAGAAGATACGGGAGTGTAACCATAAGAAATGTGACACACTGAATATATTTTTGCGAATATATCTGAAATTGTGGAAGGAAAAGGTAGGGTTATATATATATATATTTGTAATGAGAACGCCTCGGACTATTCAACTGTGCCAAAATATACGGGGTGTTCCATTAGAAAAAACATAATTGGCTGCCGTATCTTTTCAACGTCACCCTGTATAAAATTTCTGATGATGCCAATGAATTCCACGCATCATACTGTATGAATATACGTTTGGAATTTTATGATACCTCTCACCGTAAAGTAGTCAGAAAATAAAATCGAAATCGGCAAATTTTCAATTTCCCCCTGTATCTCCAAAACGAATGAAGATATCTAAATTTCGATTGTGCCATTCGAGGTCTCTCCAAAATCGAACCCGGAACATGTATATCGGTTTTTCGATAACTCCTCTAGTTATTGAGATAGACGGTGAAAACGCCCAATTTTGCCCACCCTGTACAGGGTGTGTTTCTTGAAATGGAGCCTTCCCCCCTTAACTCTTTTGGTTTCAGAGATATTAAAAAATGTTGAATGAGAAAGTTTTTTGAAACGACATGTCGATAGATCCTTTTTTTTTTCTGATTTCAAAAATTAACAAAGTTTCTCGAACAACGTACTATAATTTCTACAAAGTGAACTAGAGACGAAAATGCACCGTTAAGTCGTGAGAGAGCGATGCAGAACAATTTAATTTCCAGGTTTTCTTTAATATCCTGAAATCCTCGATTCGTACTGCTCTGAAATTCGTAGGGTAATTTACTATAGTGGATGTGCATGGAAAACATGTACCAATTCAATCAATATACAGGGAGTTAAGTATTTCGCATTTCCTTTGATGAAAGTTCATGTAACTCTGTTTAGAGTACGGCACTGACAACATTTTGATATTTAGATGAATGACAATAGTTGTTTTTCTACGAACGTCAAAAATGACAAGATTCGCGCATTGATAACAAATTGCGAAGTGACACTTCTTTCAGTTTCCTATGTCACCATGATAACTTGCACAAAACAATGCGCGGAGTAAAACAGTGCGCGAATAAGTACCTACTTCGCGCATTGTTATGTAAAATATATGAGATATTTATATTTCAACTTTATGGTCCTTAATCGAGCAAACATTCAAGGAATCATTTATCTTTGAATGTTCAACAATAATTTTGTTTTATCTCTTGGAGCGCACGAAAGGAAATTCCGATTATATTCGTGGAACATCGTGCGTATCTAGGGAGGATAGGTGGAGGCCTTTCAAGCCAGTTCAACACTATTTTTTATATCAAGCTAAGCATATTTTTACTTTAGAACTATATTTTTTGACGTTTTGTAGAAAAAATTTTGTTTGCAACTCGAGCGCGAAATACTTTGGTCATCAAAGAATTAGATTTCGATCACCAAAGTAGCATTTCGCGCTACAAAAATAACTATTTTGTATCTAGAGCGCAAAATGCTACTTTGGTGATCGAGATTTCATTTTTTTAAAATAGTCGAGATGAAGCAACTTCTCGAAATAAAAGTTTGGGTCATTTCAAACAACTTTTTAATTCACTATTTCTTCACATTGCTGAAATCAAAGGAGTTAAGGGGAGGGGGGGATTTTCATTTTAAGAGGCGCTCCCTGTACGACAATTTACTTTCTTTACGAGCCCAAGACAAGGCATTATTAAATTCCGGAGAGGATTTATCGTAGCTGGCACGTCCGGCAATATCCGGAAAATCATGTGGGAATTGTGGGATAATTTATTTTTATGCAATGATAATTTCCATTGTTGAAATTGATCTTCAGAGTTGGTTCACAACCAAACTTTTTACGTTTCGTATTCTGATTGGTGAAGCGGAATCTAAAATTAAACGTGAATTAAACTGAAGCGAGTTTTTACGGTTTTTCTATGAAATAATCACAACAATAATATCAATTGAATAACGAATTATATTTATGAGATCTGGCAGAAACGTAAATTGCTCCAGTAAAGAGGAAAATCAGGGCAAATATTGGGTGGAGCTATATCATCGAGGGTGTGTTGGTGTGAGAATGGGTTATGTATTTAGTATTTGTCTATTTCCACCATTTTGTTTCAATTCCAGACAAAGTGGCATCTTGCAACGCAAAAGCTGAAAATATTCAACTTTTTGCGTCATGTCAGTTCCAGATTTTGCTTCACTAATCAGAATACAAAACGTAAGAAGCAAAACGTGAAAAGTTTGGTTGTGAACGCGGCTTGAGGCAATGCAACCTTCATGATTTCTTAACAATTTTGAACTATCTCGGATTCGAGAAATTATAACTCCCAACAAAATCAACCGATTTCAATTCGGTTCTCACATTCGAGATCATTTTATTGACTTGCATCGAATTTAGAGTGTTCCCATTCCGTCCAGAAATATTTTTTCAAGGGTTTTCTCATATTGTATATTCGACTTTGTTTGATTAAATACACTGCTCTATTATTACAATTTTATTCGTAAAATTACACAAAAAAAATATTTCTCATTTCTAAAACTCTTCACAAAAACATTTTCACGGTTATGGGGACAAACGATAAAATTTCCACAAAATTCTCAAACACAGTAGCTATATGAAGAGTTGGAAAGCGACCCCATCATGGGGATGCGAACGGATGGCATAATTCCAAAATATAGCTTTGAAAAAACTTTTAAAATAAGTATAACGGACAGAGAGGCATGGAAGGAAGGACCTCCTATCAATGCAGACATTGCTGTCTATACGGACGGCTCCAAAACTGAGGAAGGATCAGGAGCTGGTAATGGGGCCAAGCCGAAAACAAGAATCTCACTGAGCTTAGGCAAATACGCGACGGTGTTTCAGGCAGAAATTATTGCAATACATCATTGCGTGAAAGAATTGATGAGGCAAGAGTTTGAAGGCAAAACCATTGCAATCTATTCAGATAGCCAGGCGGCAATCAAAGCAGTCAACTCTATGCAAGTTAACTCAAAACTAGTATGAGACTGCTTAGAAACTCTAAATGCACTGGGCAGTCAGAACAGATTGACTCTAGCATGGATACCAGCACATACAGGGTACGAGGGCAATGAAGAGGCAGACTCACTTGCCCGAGCAGAAGCAAACAAAGCTCTTAATGGCCCAGAACCCTTCTGTGGTATTGCGAAAGCTATACGAAAGACTAGTATCAAATCATGGATGCAAACCAAATCTCAAGAATGGTGGAACAACTCGCCAGGAATGAGACAGGCTAGAGTTTATTGAAAAACCATCGCCAACATTCACAGAATATCTACTAAGCCAGAAACGAAGTTCAACTAGAATACTAGTGGGACTTCTCACAGGGCATTGTAGGCTCAACAAACACATGAGTACGATAGGCCTGACTGAAGAACTGCTGTGCAGGTTCTGTCAAGAAGAGGTAGAAACAGCAGTACACATACTTTGCCACTGTGAGGGCTTGTCAAGACTAAGGTTCCTTACGCTTTACGCTGGGTGAGGAAAAACCAGGAGCCCAGAGATACACAGGAGATCTGAAAGCTAGCCTATGGAGTCTCATAGAGAAGGCGGGGCTAGCCGAAGAACTCTAATCGATTTTGAGGGCAAACACAATAGATCTGAAAAGGTCGCAGTGTGGAGGCAGATAGCCCGAAGGCCCCATCCCAAATCTAATCTTATCTAACACAGTAGCTTCGTCAGGTGCTGTTCTGGTAGAGGGCATAACGGACCTTGGACCAAAAGACATTTCTTCTTCAGCATGATTTAATCTATCCAATCCTAGATTTTCACAAAATTTCACCGTAGACAAGATTTCAATATGAATGGTGCGGGTTCCTTTGAAAAATTATCGGTACAATTTGAAAGACTCGTGGTATAACCTTGATGGGTTACGTTTAAAAAATCTATTCTTGCATTCCAGAACACTGTCGATAAATTAGTGCAACGCGCTAATGCCTCCCTCCTGATAGGCACTTCTTCGTGGAAAGAGCAGTTCGTAGAAGCACTGACGGTGAGCGCCAGCGGCGGCGACGACGACGACGCCGACGCTGGCGACGCCTGCAAAGAGCCGTCCTGCCTCGATTACGTCTTACACGGTCTCACCGTGTTTTGGAAGCTCATTTTCGCCTTCGTTCCGCCCACAGGTGAGAAAGATTCATTATTCGAACTGAAATAGTTATTTATGTACCAAAGACGAAACACTTTCTATAATAGTCGATCCTGCAAATTGATAGCCGAGGCCTGAGCCGAGGCTAGCAATCAGGTGAGACAATAGACAGTTTTTCACCGAGTAGTAAATCACATTTTTTCGTCGACCTCAAACACTTATATCCACATCACGGCAGTCCTATTCACACGTGAAATCTATCGGATTTCATGAATAATACTATTGTTTGTCTGTCTCACGAATTGCAGGACAGACGATAGACAGGACACACACGTAACTAATTCAGACAGAACACACACAAACAGGATACATGCAGACATAACATATTCAGACAGGGCACACAGACCAAGAGATAGAGACCGGACAAAGTCAGGGAACAGAACGGCAGACACAAACAAGACATAAACAGGATACAAACAGGCAACAGACAAGACACAGACAGTACACGGCAGTACACAGACAGGACACACACAAACTAGACACATGCAGATAGGACACAGACAAGACATAAACAGCATACGAACAGACACAACAGACACAGACAGTACACATGTAGACAGAACAAAATGACATACAGACAGGACATACAAATAAGTGGATAGAGACCTGACACCGACAAGGCACAGAAAGGACAAAGAAAATACATAAACAGGATATAGAATGCAACAGACAAGACACAGACAATCCACAGACAAGACACAGACAATCCACAGAGAAGACACAGACAGTTCACAGACAGGAGACAGGCAGGACACAGACAGGACACAGACAGGACACAGACAGGACACAGACAGGACACAGACAGGACACAGACAGGACACAGACAGGACACAGACAGGGCACAGACAGGACACAGACAGAACACAGACAGGACACAAACAGGACACAGACAGGACTAAGACAAACAGGATACAAGCAGACAGAACACATACAGACAGGGCACATAGACAAGAGAACAGAAACCCGACACAGACAGGGCACAGAAAGATCACAGACAAGGCATATAGAAAAGAAGACAAAACAGGGGTACAGGCAAAACCCAAACAGGACACCGAAAGGACACAGACAGCAAAGGCAGAGACAAGAGTGATATAATGTTTTCATTTTTAATTGTTATTGTTTAGAAGAATCAACGATCTACAGAGTTTTGTAGTGATATTGTCATTCCAAGGCTTGATGGAGTGAATTATTTTATGTTCTCCTATTAGTTGAATCGATTTTCATGAAAAACTGTTAGGAGCATCGACATCATACACGAATACCTACTTTAATGATTATTAAAATTTTCAGGAAATCTTATGGTACCTAACCAAAAACTAATATTCAAATTTTAATTTATAAGTAATTGTTCTCTTAGAGCAGTTCGATCAACGCAAGTTGATCTCATGATTAGGTCCAGTTTCATGTGATCAATAATTCATGCGAATTGGAATAAACCATCAAGAAGTTTTCAATTGAAAACGGGCAGTGATTTATAGGAAATCTTGTATAGGTCGGTATATTCAAATCCATATTGGATTCCAACGAAGTGATCATCAATGTGCGAGTGGAATGATAAGGCATTCAATTACTCTACTATGTCGTTAAGGACCTAAATTAATTTGTGCAACACCTCTCACGTTTTTTTATGTAAATAATGAGTCTATGCGTTTTCAAAATTCTGAAAGAAATACATTGAGTATTCGGATTCTCTATATGATAAAAATATCAATTTTTTTCTCGGTTTATTCAACAGAAAACAACTACTTTCCTGGCTATATGCCACGACGAACATTGAATTACATCTATTGAACATACACGATAAGAATTTGAAAATAAAATCTTCTGAAGTAGAGGATTTGCATTCTCCTTCATATGAAAATAGAACAGAAACCACTACTTTCCTGGCTATTTGCCACGTCGAACATTGAATTATATCTGTTGAATATCCAAAAAGAGAGCATCTCTCAAATCGAATAAAATAATATGATGTATCATGATATAAAAATATAACTTACCAATATGTTCAGTATTGAAATGAAAATTGAAATGTATTTGAGAAGTATAATTGTATAAACTCTGATCTTGATGAGCTTGGAACTTCTAAAAAAAATATAATTCGTATCAGTGATATGGGAATCTCTCACAAACAGGTTATATGACTTCACTCGAATGAATTCATTTCGGATATCAAATCCTCATCAGTAACCTGAAGTCCAGTTATTCTTTCAGTAATATTCTTGTCGACACTCAGGTGTGACTCAGTGTGAGGAAATGCCAGTCGAGTATCTCCTAATACAATAGCATTTCCGGATGAAATGGAGGCGTAATGTCCGGATAAAGGCACCTCCGGGTAGTGAAAACGCTGTGTGTGTCATCTCTTTCATGATTCATTCGTACATTATGCTGTCTCCGAGAAGTAATAAATGTGTGGGAAATGAATTATGTGGGATTAGTTTTCACGAGAAAAGGGGAAAGACGGTTTCTACGGTGCAGGGAATTGAAACAGAATGCAGAGACAGACGAACGAAACTCTGCGTGAAAGGATTGAAACTTCTCCATCCTCATTAATATAATAAATGTGAATGTAAGTTTGTTTGTCATGCTTATGCGGTTTCACGTCGAAACTGCTCAAACGATTATCATGAAAATTTGTAAGCAATCATATTCTTAGATGTATTAGAATGTACAAAGGATGCTTTTTATTTGAAAAAAATTCACGGCGGGAAAAGAATACTTAATGTACCAAGTACAGGGTGTCCCGTGACTCGATCCCCATAGCATATTCCTTGAACAATTTCAAGTCGAAAGTGTACCTCATATACACTTTTGTCCAAAACTCTATAGTTGAGAACTAATAAGCAATTTCAAATTCAAAAGAATGTGTTGAAGGAAACAGAGAGAATGTTGAATGAAGTAATGCCATATTTCATTAATTAAGAATGGTTTCATTGCTTACTCAAATTTAATGAAAGTGTGTGTTCTAATTGCCCTCGCGCTGCTTCTAATTATTGAAAACGTTGTTCTCTGAAGAGTATATGGGTCGACTCGTATGGATATCCATTTGTAGTAATGATATTTTGAATTAAATCATCTCTGATTTGTGGTTTATTTGAATACACTAGACTTACCATGTGTCCCATTAGAGGCGTTAGGTCAGGAGGACTAGGTGGCCAAAGAACTGGACCACCTCTTTCAATCCACCAGTAGGCCAATTAGTTATTCGATTACTCCTACTATTGAGTTTCAGGAAAAAGTGTATGGGGCACTTTCGACTTGAAATTGTTCAAGGAATATGCCCTGAAGCTATGGCCATCGAGTCACGCGACATCCTGTATAGATCCTAGCGCCCAGAGAGTATAAGATTCACCTGAGGGCCTTTGGCCCGAGGGTTTCTCAACCTCAGGGTTTATTTTTGTGTCGAAACTATTCATTTCTATCTTGACATTTGAAATACAAGGTGCTCTATTTAAAATAAGGAAGTTAATGATAATTCCAGAATAACTGAAAAAGTGGCAACATTGGCGATAACATTGAAAAGGAATATTCTCAGATATATTATAAACATGAAAAAATGTATACATTTGAATAAATACATTGAGAATAGAATATTCCTTTTCAATACTTTCATACCCAATCAAGGGGTTCAAACTTGAACGATGGAAACTTGTTATTTTTATAAACCTTCAATCGCAGATTCGTGATTGGGTTTTTCTCAGTTCAGAATTTCTTTCCACGCCCTGTATGATAAATGTCAGTTTGTCATACATCTAAAACAATTGGCGATAACATTTTCAAATCCGCCACGTTTGAAAATCACCCTGTACATGAACTTAAAAGAATCTAACAACATGTTACCGAGATATCCACCTGTTTCCACACATATCAGCGACCCTGTATAAAGAAATACATTCAACATTCAACGATAGTATACCTACATCTTTAAAAATATCCTGGAATAGGGATATATTATGAACTATTTATGAAAGGTTCGCGAATTATCCTGTAAAATGAGCACTCAAACATTGAGTGGTCGGCTTACAGGTTTTATGAACTGAATGAATACATGGAGTTCATTATCAAGATTCTTCAAACAATTAAAGCATAATTTGTGAGATGAATCCTGCAATGTTGCGATTATTTTTGCAATTAAGGTAATCTCGTACTTAAGGCTTAATCACAATGAGGTGGAGTTGAAGAATGCCGGGCACTTAGATGGGGGCACTTAAATGGAATTATATATACCGGGTTTACCACATTATAGGTTGACTATTTCTTGAAAACCATTCGTTCTACAGCTTTCGGTTATTGAATGAGTGTGATTGAAAATGAATATTCTCAGATATATTATAAATATGAAAACATGGATATATATAAAGAAATACATTGAGAATTCGCATTCTCTTTGTGATGAATATATTAACTCTTCATCGGTATATTCAACAGAAAACAACTACTTTTCTGGCTATAAGCCACGACGAACATTGAATTATATTCAAAGAACAAATACGATAAGAATCTGAAAATAAAGTCTTCTGAAGTTGAGAATTTGCATTTTCCTTCACATAAAAATAAATATGCTCATGATATCATTCTGAATATTCAACAGAAAACAACTACTTTCCCGTCGAACATTGAATTATATCTGTTGAACATCAAAAAGAGAACATGAGAATAAAAATCTTCTAAAATTGAGAATTGACATTCTCTTTCAAATCGGATGAATAATATGATTTGTAATTTTATAAAAAAAATACAGCTTACCAATATATTCAGTATTGAAATAAAAATTGAAATGTATAGGAGAAGTATTCTTGCATTACCTCTGATCATGATGAGCTTAAAATTTCCAAAAATCATTCGTATCAGTGCACGGGAATATTATCTCTCACAAACAGGTTTCACGACTTTATTCGAATGAACTCATTTCGGGTATCAAACCTTTCTCAGTAACCCGAAGTTCAGTTATTCTTTCAGCCATTCTTCATGAAATACACA